CGTCCGGCACATTCCAGCAGAACTCCAGTAGAGAGATTGCGAAATGAGGAAGGTGAATGTAAAGGAGGCCGTGTTCAGGAATGGTCCTCAACATCCATTCTCATACTCAGAGCAACATCGAGTCATCACATACCCGTCCCAAGGATGGGATTCTGCTAGCACTCTAATGACGCCAGCCAAATTACCGATAAAGATTTAGCTAGGTTTACTCCAGGGCCGGATTTAGAAGTTGTGAGGCCCCGGGACAAGCGGATTCTTGGAGTTCCCCCACCCCCCTCCCTCCCCCGCTCCGGCATTATACCTGGTGGTGCAAATTTTGGATCTGAATCATCTGCTTCTTTACGCAAATACTTAACTTTTCCATTTCCTTCAGGAGCCCCCTTGAAGAGTGGGGCTCGGGGGTAACAGCCCCCTACGCCTCCCCTTAATCCGGGCCTGGTCCATCAATCACTTCAATGGTCTTCAATAACTTCATTTTTTGAAGCTACCGCAGTTTTACTCATTTATTCGAATAGTAGTGATGCCGCGCAGCAAACCATCCGCGCACGGAAGGAGAATTACCCGCATTGGGGAAAATCGAGCTGTGGGAAGACTTTTTTTCAGCTTGGGAGATTTGGAATCTCTCTCTTGTCTATTGATATTCAAATGACTTTGACAGTTTAAGTAAACACTAATGTTTATCGAAATCGTGGAAGTCACGAGGCAGTGGCCTAGCGTGGTTGGCATGGACTCTGGTGCAAGGAATGAAACGGGGGCCCTCTGTCCAATTTCTTACTATTGAATTGCGTAGGAGTCAGATTATTTTGCTCATTTTCTCCGGCAGCATATTAATCGTCGGCGGTAGCTGAAGTGGGAGGCAGAGGCGAAGGGGTTCTCAAACTGCGGGGCGCGACAGGTCATGGGAGTTTTTTTCATCTACTTCAATGTGCAGTTTCAAAAACTATTGAATATTATTTTTTGTTATCCCTATCCATTTTTTTTTATTACTGGAAAAGGGTCACATTCCTTCACCTGGTTCTGGCTCTTTCTCCAGGAGTACAAGACTAAATGAAAGCAATTCAAATGGGCAGACTTTTAAATTCGATTCTTTCTTTCAAGGGGTGTACATTTCCGTCGACGATTTCCTACGATTCGAATGAAGGTAGGAGATGAATCCGGCGGCCCTTTGGGCTGTAACTCGAATGCTCGATGAATGTGAAGTCCGTCTAAATAAATACTTGAAGAAACTAAATCACGCAGAAGAACTGGGTTCCCCGGGCAGAGCAAAATTTCCGAAGACATTTCTTTGTTAGGTCTTTGAAAATAAGATTTGCGCTGTTATTGTTACCGTCCAGTTCAGATTCCATCATTTGTAGGCCCGGAAGCATGTGAGCGTCGCTCTCATTAAATTAAGCGAATGCTAATCCGTTGATAATCTAGCTGTAAACCGGTCCCTGAAACGTAGCAATCCGTTTCTTATTTTTTTCAATCACCGCATGAAAAAAGCATCCGTGGGGTAAGTTTAATTTCTAGGTACTCCTCTCGGAGAGAAAGGGGGCACGACGACGAACCAGTCAGTCGGGGGGAGTTCCAACCCCACCCTCCCCCCCCCTCATCTACCACCACCCTCCGTCCTATCGCCTTATTCATTTTTCATCTTTGGTAAAAACCCTGAATATCAATTTCACAGGAGCTAATAAGCATTAATTTGTGTTCTAAATTAAAAAAAATAGACTGCGAACTTGACCAGAGGAGGGGCAGTCGCCGTCCCCCCCCCCCCCCCCCCCCCCCCCCCCCCCCCCC